GCGCTCCAGCGTGCTCCTTTCTCCAAAATAGCCACAATGATCATGCTGACTCTCATACACTTTGTAACGCAAGGGTTCTGGAACCACTAATTGACAAATTTCTTCTCCGTCCCGGGAATCAAATATAGTACGGAACATCACTCCTTTTGTAAGCTTGAGACGTATGAATTGTCTAGCAAGCTTTTTTGACTCAACATCCATATTGCGCTGCTCGACTGGACTCAGATTCTTGTTGGTTTGTACAGCACGGTAGATAGGAGCTATATGAGGGTCGTTTTTTTGTTGCTCTCCTATATCACTCCAGCTATATCCAGGGATTTTCCTTGTCACCGACACCTGTACCAATGCTTGTACTCTCTGCTGATTTTTGGCGACTGGCCATAAGCATGCACGCACTTCATCTGAATTCATCTTAATGAAGTCTTTAGCAGAGTCCTCTTGCTCAGGCTCCTCACCAGATGGAATCCTTGATAACACATCTGCATTTGTATTTTGTCGTCCTGGTTTGTAGTAGACCTCAAAATCAAACTCCGACAACTGAGCCATCCACCGTTGTTCGACAGCTCCTAAATTTGCGGTCGCCAAGTAGCGCAAAGGGTTATGATCTGTTATCACGGAGAACTTGGAGTAGATCAAGTATTCTTTGAACTTTTCGGTTACAGCCCATTTTAAGGCAAGTAGCTCTAGCTTGAAAGCACTGTAATTTCAGTCGTTCTTTTCTGACCCACGAAGACCCCGACTTGCATACGCGATCACACACTCAGCACCTCCTTGTTGTTGACTTAACACGGCCCCAAGACCATGCAGGCTCCCATCAGTTGTGGGTACAAAAGACTGACTGAAATCCGGGTATGCGAGAACTAGCGGAGACATTAAACACTGCTTGAGTTTGTCAAATGCAGTTTGACACTCCGTTGTCCAGTTAAGAGGTTCAACGATTTTCTCGTTCCCTCCTTTACCAACCAGGGCATGAAGAGGCCAGGCTAACTGAGCAAAACCAGGAACAAACCTCCTGTAATAACTCATGAATCCAAGGACCTGTCTTAATTCCTTGACATTCGTGGGTGCAGGCCAGGATTCCAATGCCCGAGTTTTCTCTCCATCCATCTTAATTCCCTGGGAGGAGATTAGGTGACCTAAGAATTTCACTTCGGGTTTCAGAAGGAAGCACTTGCTGGGTTTTAGTTTCAAACCATGCTGTCTCAACCAGTTGAACACTATTTCCAGTCTTTGGCAATGGCTTTCGAAGTCTTTTGAAAAGACGATAATGTCATCAAGGTAGATGAGCAGTATGTCAAACGTTAGATTACCTAGCACCACCCCCATCAGACGTTGAAATGTCGCAGGTGCATTGCAAAGTCCGAATGGCATCCTGGTCCATTCAAACAGTCCAAAGGGAGTGGTGACCGCTGTCTTTGCTCTATCCTCCTCACTCATCGCCACTTGGAAATACCCAGAGGTAAGATCAAGGGTGGAGAACAGCTGTGCATTTCCCAAGGCATCCAGCTATTCCTCCACGCGAGGGAGAGGATAAGCATCTTTGCAGGTCACTTAATTCAACTTTCTGTAGTCACAGCAAAAGCGTATGCTGCCATCCTTCTTAATCACTATCACCGCTGGAGATGCCCACGGACTACAGCTTTCTCTGAGAATACCTTGAGACACCAAATCTTGAACATGTTTTTTCACTTCCTGAAACACCTGAGGTGGAATTCTGCGATGTCTTTGCTTAATGGGAGGAGCATCACCTGTTGGGACACTATGTGTGACAGCAGTCGTATAACCGAGGTCACAATCGTTCTTCGAAAACACATCACTGTGCTTAGCCAGTAAGTCCTGGAGTTTGCGACATTGTGTTGCTGTGAGGTTCTCTGGATTAATTTGCACTGGAACTGGCAGCTGTTCTGGGGTGCTAACCTCCACTTTCACCTGACGTTGCTGCACAGCCTTAACATGCAAAGCATCCTCTTTCTCTTCAAACTCGTCAAGCACTTTTGTCACAACTTCCTGTGGCTTGGACAGCGCAGCGATCCTACATCGTGGTGGGAGCTTTACGGGCTTTTCACCAGAATTCAACACTCTGACTGGAACTTTACCATTGACTGTCTTGGTGAGCACATTAGCAATCAGAACACTCTTCGGCAAGCTGACCTTTGACGAGGCCTCCACCAACACTTGGAAGCTCACTTTTGGTGGTATTCTGCAGCGGCCTTCCAAAACACGTTCACTAAATGAAGGAATAGTTATTGCTTGCTTACCAGCAACCTTCACGAAGCCAATCTTGTCACCACAGCTCAGTGCCTCAGTTTGCATCCTAATGTTAGCCAACACTCGCTGGACCTTTGCCTCCTTGAAACCATGGCTATACCTTTCCATCTTCTTCATATCTTCAGTGGTCATGAATAGATCCTTAACTTCACTCAACACATTCATCCCAATAATGCCAGGCAATCCTTTCAGCTCTGTCCCATTGGAATCGCTCTCTTTGATCACAAACACACACTTTCCATGCAACGTCTTCCCCATACACTCTATGTCTGCTTCCAGACATCCAATGATGGGAATGTCTAGACCATTTGCTGCTGTAAGTCGGACCCAGTTGGTGGACACTTCTCCAAAGTGATTCTTAAAATGTGACTCAGTGATAGTAGTCACTTCCGACCCTGTGTCCAAGAGGCAGATAGTCCTGATACCTGCAATTTTCACTTCAATGGTTATGCAATCTCCAAAAGCACTTTCATAAAGGGACTTGGAAACATTCTCTGTATCCCAGTCTGCAGTATGACTTCTAATAACGGATGGACCCGGGCACTCTAGCACTGAAGTGTCTTGGTCAGCTGTCTTTTCCACCTCTGCTGTGTGAGGTTGCACTCTACTAGAGTTTTCTCTGCTCTGCAGACAACGTCGGCTTGTGTGTCCTGGCTTACCACATGTATAGCAGATGTATCTTCCTTCACTATCTTTTAAAGGTGCACTTTTTGCCTTGCTTTCCTTCGCAAGAGGTTTCACTTTTTCTTTGCCGTTTACCATCTGAAACAGTTCTTCTTGTTGGGCAGCTATCTGTTGAATATCTTCATGGAGTGACTCCAGGGTGAGAGGGACTGAAGAGCTCTCTGTTGCAGTGGTAGCATGAACGACACCACGTGAACGAGTACTGGTTCTCAGACTGCTTGGAACTTGCACCTCCTCTTCTTCAGACCAAGTAATAGCTTCCTGCATAAGGTGGATGAATGTCAGGTCCTTCTGAGCTTTACCTCTCCTCTTCATTTCACGCCATAGCGGATCATCTTTGAGGGCTAACACAAGCTGTTCCTTCAATATGCCATCAGCATCAAGAACTCTAGACAGTTCTCGGCTCTGGATAATACTCAACTTCTCCTGCAAGTCATAAGCATAAGAACGGATGGTTTCTCCAGGCATTTGTTTGCGGTCATAAAACTCTTTCAGTCTGCTGCCAATGGGAAGTTTGTCCCCATAAGTCTGATCCAAAGCATCAAAAATCTCATCCACTGACCTCTCCTTTCCGTTGAGCATGAACTTGACGGTCATCTTAGCCTCATCTTTTAAATACTGTTTAACAAACTCAATTCTGTCTTCTTCAGGAATTTTCATCACCTTGAAGGCGGACTTCATTGAACTTATCCGTTCTTCTATACTCAACTCACCAGGCTTGGAACGACATCCGGTAAACTCTGGAAGCTTACGATCCCTAGGGATGTAAACAGTAGATGGTGCTTTCTGAGTGGCAGCCTGCTGTTCGATAACAGTTTTAGCAAGGGAACGCGCCTCTCTCTCTTCGGCTCTGGCTTGCTCTAACATGCCTGCCTGCTCACCGAAACCGCCTTTGCATCTCTTCAAACTGTTTCTTTAATTCTTCCAGTTCAGCCATAGCCTCGGCTCTAGGACCAGGAACTTACACTGAATCAGGAAACAGGAATTGATCCTGTTCGTGACGCCAATATGTAGCGGAGGCGAATAGGCCACCACCTTGTGGGGGAGATATAGCACTTAATCTAAGGAAGACTGAGTGAGAAACAGGATCCTAGCCCCCCCGCCCAATGCTTTTAGTCTTTGTACAAGGGTCTCTTGTATGTGGTGCCTGTAGTGTTGCAATGTGGAAATGCTCAAGAAGTGGCGAGGTGGGCTGTATTTATTTAGTACACGGCAGCTACCTGAAGTGTGTGTGTGCAGGAAACTCAGGAAATAAATGTAACTGACTGCAAAACCCACCCTCCCCAGATCTAACAGAACAGGTAAGACGCCCCCACTCCTTAGTATAAGTGACTCAAAAATTTGTGTAAATGTGTAAACATTAAATATATTGACATTTATTTAAGCTAATGGAATTGTGATTACTTAGTTTGTTTTATAGGAGGAGTGAAGGAGTGAAAAATGCAATCAACAGAGAAAGAAATAAAAATGTAGAAAACAATAAAGACAGTAAATTAACAACCCTGTAACCGTCTCAGTTGAGTCTTGTACACCCAATCACAATCAGTGTCCTTTTTGTTTTACCCACAGGGGAAAGAGTTTCACATGAACAATCTGTTCACTCAAGATTCTTCAACAAAAATTCACATTAGAGTCCAATTCAGTTTGTTTGTTTTAAAAACAACAAAAAAAATCAAAAGTTCTTTTTGATTCAGTTCAAGAATTCAAAAGTTTTCTTCCATGAATAGGACTAAAAAAAAGAAAAGAGATTATTTCCAGTCCATTCAAAATTTCACGAGTCAAAAAGTCCCTCCAAGTGCAAGAAAAAGAAAATATATGAATTCCCCTCACAGGAAAATTCACTTGTTCACAGTTCAGTTCTTAACACTCACAGAAGAGAAAACAATGACTTGCTTACCAGCATTCAGAATCCAATGAAGAAAATAATGTATATCACCCCTCTTTGGTTGAGGATGAGACGCTGAATGAAATCCAATGGATGGCAGGGTAATGTTTCTTCACTCTTTGACTCTCAGCGATCGTTACCCTCCCCTGTGATCCTGACAGCTTCAACACGATCCAACGAGGGCACAATCCCCAGCTGACGGAGATCAGATTGCGAAGACGAACAATACACAGCACCCCTCAACGCTTCAGCGAATTCTACTAGTACACTAAGCAACTGGATTCAGCGTGATTTAAGTTCGGTTGAACAAAACAAACTGGACGCGAAACAAAACAAGCGCAGTTTTGCCACACTGCCGCATAACTGTTAGGCGCGATCAGGCCCACTTCCTCCGCTTCACGGATTCGGCAGAAGAACTATCCCGACACGTTCAATAGCGGTCATCAAACAACCGGAGACTCAGATACAACACTGCGCGACTGTAAGGCAGGTCGCGGGTCTAAACGGTGGGCTGTATTTATTTAGTACACGGCAGCTACCTGAAGTGTGTGTGTGCAGGAAACTCAGGAAATAAATGTAACTGACTGCAAAACCCACCCTCCCCAGATCTAACAGAACAGGTAAGACGCCCCCACTCCTTAGTATAAGTGACTCAAAAATTTGTGTAAACAGGTTCAACTTAAATATATTGACATTTATTTAAGCTAATGGAATTGTGATTACTTAGTTTGTTTTATAGGAGGAGTGAAACAAATTTAAATGCAATCAACAGAGAAAGAAATAAAAATGTAGAAAACAATAAAGACAGTAAATTAACAACTCTGTAACCGTCTCAGTTGAGTCTTGTACACCCAATCACAATCAGTGTCCTTTTTGTTTTACCCACAGGGGAAAGAGTTTCACATGAACAATCTGTTCACTCAAGATTCTTCAACAAATATTCACATCAGTGTTCAATTCAGTTTGTTTGTTTTAAAAACAACAAAAAAAATCAAAAGTTCTTTTTGATTCAGTTCAAGAATTCAAAAGTTTTCTTCCATGAATAGGACTAAAAAAAAGAAAAGAGATTATTTCCAGTCCATTCAAAATTTCACGAGTCAAAAAGTCCCTCCAACACTTCCTCCGCTTCACGGATTCGGCAGAAGAACTATCCCGACACGTTCAATAGCGGTCATCAAACAACCGGAGACTCAGATACAACACTGCGCGACTGTAAGGCAGGTCGCGGGTCTAAACGCAACCTATTAGCGTCATAAAATTATCCAAGGACGTTCTTCAGCTTGCCGCTGCTCAGATCCACAGCCTCAACGAGCTCAGGTGCTACTACCCTTTTTTCTACATTCCGGCGCCCGTGTTAAAAG